CGGCCGAGGCTGCGCCGCTGGGACACCCCGGGGTTACAGCCATGAATCCCTGCCCGTGCCCCCCTCAGGCTGGGCCTGGGGAACCCCCTCCCGGCGTGCTGCCAGCCACGTCCCCTCGCCCCCGGGAGCGCTGGTGCTATAAACCTTTCCACGCTTGGTTGCAGGGCTTACAGTTTGCCGTAAGTAAATAAATTAGGTATAATTTAATATTTGATTGTAAGATTTACTGTTCCGTTCTTTACAGCTTCTCAGGTGGGTGCCCAGTAATTGAGCTAAATGAAGAGCCCCATTAATTCCCGGCAGCGAGGAGCTCCGGGTGCCGGCTGCAGCGCGCAGCAGTGCCGGCTTGGGAACCCCCCGCCCGGTGCCGTTCCCCCAGCACGGGGGCCGCATTTCCTCGCTCTCAGGGGGGGAACTATTGCTCCTCGCCTGTAATTAATGCACAGAGCCGCACGCACCCGCCCCGTCACGGGGCAGAGTCCAGAGTCGCCTCGCAGAAACCCGGGTGATTTTGGCACAAACCCCGGGGCTGATCCGAGGTCGGCTGTTTCAGACCGGAATTCAGCTCTGCTGTTACTTTTGAGACCCTTTCACTTTCAGCAACGTAAACAGCTTTACTACACCGTCTTATAAAGGACAAGGTGGAGTACTTGAACTTGAAGCAGCGCCCTAACATATTTTAATAGCTTCCCCGCTCCGAATCCCGTCCCATACCCACGCAGGCTGGGTTTAACCCCCCCCTCTGCATTCAGCTATGCACAGCAGGTTTTGCTTACTACAAAATTAAAAGTGCGTCCCTTTGCGGACTGTTTTAGACCAAGCGATCCTCTCCGTCCTCTAGCCACATTCATCTCATTGCAACAGCGTTCTCTGCGAGCCGTTGTGTAAGCGACGCGTTTGGGTTCGAACAGGGGCCTTTGAACTGATTACTCAAAGCACCATCCTATGGGAATTAAATCTGCAGCGTGAGCTCTTCCCACGCAGCTGCAGGTAGGAGCCTGCAGGTATCAGCGCCAGGGGAAAGCAAATAAAACGATTCCAGTTTTGTACTTGTTCTTCCAAGGTTTGGCTGGTTCAGTTCCTCGAGTCCCAGGTGCTGCCCCTTGCCGCTCCGTGCCAATTCCCAGTTTAACCTTGAGCTGTTGCTCTGGAGCACAGAGCGGGATGGCCGGAGCCCCCGTGCCCTGCAGACGCCTCCCGCTCTCCTGGCTGTTCCCGTGCGGGTCCCCGGCCCCGGGAGAGCCGGGGCTTTGCTGTTGCCCTCCTGCCGTGGCCACGCTTCCACGGGCACGGGCGTCCCTCCCCTCCCCTCGCCGCTGCAGCCCTCGCGGCCGAGCTGTCGCAGGGATCTTCCTCGGAAACATCGCATTCCAGCTAACCAGACGGTGCCCTTGCCCCGCTGCCGACTGAGCTTTGGCTGGGCGAAACGAGATTGCTTTAGTGGGGAAACATCCCTGAATGGCCTGGACTCACCCTTACCCACCCCTTCCACAGGCAAAGTCCCATTTACCCGAGCGGGAATTCAGGTTAAACATCAGCTGCGCACCAAGAGCTGCAGAGCACGACAGCCCCTGGCCAGCAGTTCCACATTTTCCTGTCGTTTCTGTCATGTTACCATTTACACGACTGACACAGAGCAGGCGTGCTTTGCACGAATGCCCCTGAGCCCACCCCCATGGGCTCCTTTTTTTCAGGCCACCAGCGCCTCCACACCCTCTCCTCTCCCAATGGTTTTCCAAGCTGCTGTAAACACGCACCCAAACCAGCCAGCAGTTTACATCTTTCCTCCTCCACAAGAGAGATTTAAAACGGAAAATACTTTTTTCAGATGAATAGTGCCTTAAGCCAGAGCGTCCCAAGTCCCTCGCGGTAAACTTTGATCATGGAAAGGTCCCAGAAACAGCTGCCCCTAAATCCCATCGGCTTTCCAGCCCCCGCAGCCTCCAGGGGAAGCAGCTCTCTCTCCTGCTAGATCACTTCACAGAGCTTTGACCTTCCTTTGATACTCAAAAACTAATTTGGTGGGATAAATCTTGGTTTGAAAACTAATTAACATTCTCCCCTGGATTCACACTCCTAAGGCAGCCCACGCAGGGCTACGAGCGCCTCCGGGATCGCTGCTGGGGACGGCTCTGCCAGCGAAGTGAAGGCTCCTTGGGATAACCCGGGAAAGCTGCACCGGGCTCGCCACTGCTCCCCGCAGCCCCCCGGGGAAGCTTCAGCAGCGGGAGGGAGCTCAGCCCCAAGCTATGGATGCTTCGCCGTTCCAAGCCGCGGCCCCCGTGTGGGTGACCTGCCCTGCACACGCTGGCTGTCGGTGCACGAACGCCACCGCTGTCCTGCTGCCGGGGCTTTTGGGGCCACCCCCACTTGCCCAGGTCCCCTCTACTGTGGTTTGGGGGAGCACCTCCAGCTCCACCTGCCCCACACCCTCTCGGCTGAGTTTGTAATTCAAGATTTGGGCACAGGACCAAGCCTAAATCCAGGATCAGATCCTGAGGTTTAGCTGTCCCTTACCTAACAAATGCCTAATAGTAGTAATTTTAGGTTTTAATCCCACAGGCGTTAGGGTTTTAATCCCACAGGGGGCGGCTGGGTTGGGCGATGCTTTTCTGAAGCGTGGCCCGTGTCAAGCAGCCTGCATTCGCATCCTGAGCACTGCGGACGGGAGTTTGGGGATCCCCCCCTTCCTTCCCGTTCTATTTTATAACAAAACCAGCCGTTTGGGCAAGCTGGAAACAGCATTTCTGCAGCTCGCGGCGGTGCCGCCCTCCCGTGGCTGGAGAACTGCTCAGGCTGGATGAAAAACAGCTTAAAAATCTGATGTAACGTAACCAGGTAACTAAAACCTACAGCCACTGCCCTGCCTTTGGTCTGGCAACGCTAAAATACTTCAGCCTGGCATCTGAAGCCGCCGCGACCCAGCACGGCGCGAGCCAGGCTTTGTAAACCAAGAGGGGCTTCATCCTCGGTTATCGTCACCGTCTCTTAGCTCAGCTTTGTCCTGGGTTATCGTCACCGTCTCTTAGCTCAGCTTTGTCCTGGGTTATCGTCACCGTCTCTTAGCTCAGCTTTGTCCTGGGTTATCGTCACCATCTCTTAGCTCAGCTTTGTCCTG